CCAGGGAAAGACCTAACTAAAAAAGAGAACTACAGGCCAATCTCCTTAATGAATATAGATGCAAAAATCCTTAATAAGATACTAGCTAACAGAATTCAGAGGATCATCAAGAAGATAATACATCCTGACCAAGTTGGATTTATTCCAGGGATGCAAGGATGATTCAATATACATAATTCAATAAATGTAATACACTATATAAACAAATTCAAGGACGAGAACCACATGATCCTCTCAATAGATGAAGAAAAAGCATTTGACAAAATTCAACACCCATTTATGATAAAAACCCTGCAAAAAATTGGAATAGATGTTCTATATCTCAACTTAATAAAGGCTATCAATGAAAAACCAACAGCCAACATCATATTAAATGTCCAAACACTGGAAACCTTCATGTTAAAATCAGGAACAAGACAAGGAGGCCCACTATCACCACTCCTCTTTGATATAGTTCTGGAAACATTAGCCATAGCAATTAGACAAGAGAAATTAAAGCAATAAAGATAGGAAAGGAAGAACTTAAACTGTCATTATTAGACAAGAGAAATTAAAGTGATATGACAGAAAAGGAAGAAGTTAAACTGTCATTATTTGCTGATGATATGATACTCTACATTAAAGACCCCAAAAACGCCACCAAAAGATTTCTTGACTTAATAGACACTTTTAGCAGAGTAGCTGGATACAAGGTCAACACCCAAAAATCAATAGCCTTCTTGTACACGAATAACAGGCTCACCAAACAAGAAATTAGGGAAAACAATTCCTTTCACACTAGCACCCAAAAAAATGAAGTATCTGGGAATCAATCTAACAAAAGAAGCAAAAGACCTCTACACTGAAAACTATAGCACTCTGAAAAAAGAGATCGAAGAGGATAGAAGAAAATGGAAAGATATCCCCTGCTCTTGGGTAGGAAGAATCAACATAGTGAAAATGGCCATACTACCAAAACTGCGATACAGATTCAATGCAATACCAGTTGAAATTCCAGCACTATACTTCACAGAACTAGAAAGAAGAATCCAACAATCCATTTGGAGCCATAAGAGACCTAGAATAGCAGAAGCATCCTAGGCAACAGACACATGGCAGTGGGTATAACAATTCCCAATCTGAAACAATACTACAAAGCCACTGTGATAAAAACAGCATGGTATTGGCAAAGAAACAGACCTGAGGATCAGTGGAAAAGACTGGAAGATACAGAAACAACTCCACATGTACTTAGCTACCTTATCTTGGACAAAGGAGCTGACCATCCCCACTGGAAGATGGATAGCCTCTTTAATAAATGGTGTTAGAAAAACTGGATCTCAACCTGCCAAAGATTAAAACTAGACCCTTATCTTTCACCATGCACTAAATTAAAATCAAAGTGGATTAAAGAACTAAATATTAAAACAGAAATACTAAACTTGCTGGAAGATAAATTAGGCAGAACTCTTGAAGACATTGGCGTAGGAAAAGACTTTATGAACAAGTCCTCAGTAGCACGGGAACTAGCAGAAAGAATCAACTGGGATCTCATCTTATTAAAAAGCTTCTGCACTGCAAAAGAAACAATCAACAGAACTAAGACACAACCTACAATGTGGGAAAAAATTTTTACCAGCTGCTCCTCAGACAAAGGACAATCATCCAGAATATATAAAGAACTCAAAACAATGAGCCCCCACAAATACAAAGACTCAATTCAAAAATGGGCATCTGAAATGAACACACATTTATCAAGTAAAAGCAGCAAGTAAATATATGAAAAAATGTTCCACATCACTTGTCATTTGAGAGATGCAGATGGAAACAACACTGAGATTCCACCTCATCCCACAAAGAATGGCTGCTATCAAGAAATCACACAATAACAAATGTTGGTGGGGTTGTGGGGAGAAAGGAACCTTTCTCCATTGTTGGTGGGAGTGCAGACTGGTGCAACCACTGTGGAAATCAATATGGAGATACCTCAAAGAGCTGGGACTAGAGGTTCCGTTTGACTCAGCCATCCCTCTGCTGGGTATCTTTCCAAAAGAATTAAAAGAATCATATCACAGTGACCTATGCACACCAATGTTTATAGTGGCACAGTTTGTAATAGCTAAAACTTGGAAAGAGCCCACCTGCCCATCTGTTGAAACTGGATAAATAAGATGTGGTTTTTCTATAAAATAGAATACTACTCAGCCATAAAGAATGAGAAACTAGAATCATTCATAGGAAAATGGACACATATTGAGGATATACTTCTAAGTGAAATAAATAAGTCACACATGTAAAAATACCAAATAGTTTCTCTGGTGTGAAAAACTATAATAGTACACAAGATCCTAATGGGACAATTGAGTGTGAAATAGGAAGAAAAGGGCTAAAGGTGTAGGGAAAGTGGGAAGGGTAGGGGCAAGGAAATAAGACAAAAGAGAAAAGCATGAGAAAATGAAAAATGGAAATAAAGAGTCTGTTAATGGGGAATGGGAGAGAGGAGTGAAGGGAGGGCAGGGACAAGGGGAAAAATGCGAACAAAGACCTGTCATGTGAAGGTACAGCATCCCAGTAATGAATGTAACTGTACTGTAGACCTAGATTGTACCCATAAACTCAATTTGAAAAAATGGATCATAAATTAACTTTTGAATGGCTTGATTTAAACAAAGGTGCCTGTTGAATAGGAAGTCTAGGAATCCTCATGTAAGACCTTAAAAGTAAATGGGTATTAAAAATAAAGAGTTTATTATTGAATACATTCAGCTGAGTGCATAATATCAACAAGAAGACCAAATCCTGCTATTCAAGTTGTTCAGGAGAGACCCTGGAACAAAATGGGTGTAAGGAGGATATAAAATGAAGGAAGTTGGAAAGTGTGGCAGTAGGGGCAGGGAGAGATATTAGAAAAAGAAGTAGAAGAGGAAAAATATTATTGAGAAAGAGACAGATAAAAAGCACTTAAATATCTCTTTTAAGCGACATAATAGTATTAATGTAATTTACTTGCTATTAGATTCTTGAAGTGCAACAAACATTAGAAAAGTTGGAATTAGCCAGCCAGGGCAGGGCACTAAAAGTAATGGTAATTCCTTTCTACCCTCCCAGTTTACAGATTGAAAAAGGAAACCCAGAAGTAACTGGGTTACAGCCTGCTCATCAGAGCCAGGTCTAGAAGTCCAATCCCTGTGATGAAAACATTATTGAAAATTTCTCTGTTGTAACTGTTTTGTCAAAAAGAAAGCGCAAAAAATGGAGATAGTCTTGTTAGATGAGCTAAAACACTTTCCATTTAACACTGTTCACATTCTTCCTTCAAGATTTATTTCACATCAACTCCTAAAAAGATTTCCTTGCCAAAGCTAGCCTTTTCTCCCTGTACATGTTCACTGAATCTTACCTACATGTCAGTAGCATTTATCTTACCTTGTCTGGCTTTTTACTTTCTTCTCCCATGTACCGCACATGCACAAAAGAGTTACTCTCTATGCCACACATCTACAAAAACTCAGTGTATACAACTATGTCATAAAAAATAGACATCCTTAACCACAAATGCGGTATCCTCACAGAAATCTGTGACAAATCATTGTGCTTATTTTTAGGTGAAGATCAGCTTGAGGGCAACCTGAAAGCACTAACAGTGGAGTCCACCAGGCCTCACCCAGTACATTAGATTTCAGTAGATAAAAGTTCTGTCAGCTCTGGAGGCTTCACCAGCCACCTCTAAATGATGAGAGCAAGTGTTTACCAACTACATGGAGCCCAATCCTAGCTTCACTCTCTTATTTGCACTGTATGTCAAACATTCACTTCTGAATATGTATTAAGTAATGCAAATTTATTGATCTTAAACTGAAAATCAACAAATACTCTACAGTTGTCACCTAATTTTTTTTGTGACATCAGCAAACCCCTGATGCTGGAAACCTTACTTTCATTATTGATACTATTACAGGCTTGTCTTCTATCACATTGTTTACTAAATTTAGCAGTTCACTTCTTTCTTGGTTTTTCTCCGTATTTTCTGTTTTTACTACAGTAACTCAAGGATTTGTCACCTCTACCTTGTAATGTTAGAATAAAGTAATGAACTTCTAATTCTAATATATACGTCTCTGTATAATGTCACTTTCTTAAAACCCCAATAACTCCAACTTAGATGCAGGTTTATGACAATATTTACTCTGATAATCAAATCTTCTACTATTTGGACACTACATTTTCAAACTTACCTCATATCATTTCCCTTCACATGCCAACATACAGTAGTAGGAAAATTGATATTTCTATTTTCAGTGGTTTCTCATGTCTTTGGCTTTGTTCCAATAGGCAATATGCTTTGTTTCCTATCTTTCCCCCACTTATGGAAATCCTAATTATATTTATGAGCCTTTCTACTTTCATAACATTTTAAAGACACCTCAGTCATGGCGGCTATCACTTTCTACCTTGCACTACAGCATTTTGAAATACAGCTTTTTTCCCATATTTAAGTCTATGTTGATTTTCTCTTTGAGAATATTTTTATTAGAGACAAAATCCATGTCTGATTAATCTTTGGAACATCCAGAATTCTTAGTGAAATTCATTACAAACTATAGAAAATCAATATAAGTTGCTTAATAATTGAATATACACTACCTGGCAATGATAAAATTCTGATATATTTTCTAATTTAAAGAGAAACAACACTATTTACCAGGAGAAGCATTCATAGTTACTTGTTTACTCAGGAGAATTAATCAGTAACTGAACTACTAAGGTTGATTAACACTTTCAATAATTACAACTTTACATGTTGTTAAGCAGGCATGCAGCCCAGTTCCCAGGGAGAGACTAGGTTTTCATCTTAATGATTGAGGATAAATATACTTTTTATTTCAATGTATCAGAAAAATTAGCAGTGATCAAACACACATTACCAAGCAAACCATAGTGATTATCCATGTGACATCTCCAGTCCTGGAAATAAATTGTAAGATTCATTTTATGCTTAAAGTCTATTCTTTATTTCCCAGGTGTGATGGGAGAATATGAGCCTAAAATTGAGGTCCATTTTCCTTTCACGGTTACAGCTGCTAAGGGAACAACTGTTAAGATGGAGTGCTTTGCACTTGGCAAGTAAGTACATATACTTCTATAATTAGACACAATTGTTTATGAAAATGCAACACATTTTTTGGATCATTTATTTTGCTAGGTTTTATTTTCCCAGAAGCTTCAAGGTGGCTGTACATTTTTTAAAAAGAAAACGTGAATTGACAAAGTAACCAATTATAATTATTATCTTAGTCATTTCTGTGGACAGTGATATATATAGATATATGATATATATCTATATATATAATTTTGTTGCTTTGACATAGAGAAAACCTCTAAATTAAAATTGTATATATTTGTAACTACTTAGAATTTTCATATTTTTAAAAAATCATGTTTAGCAAAGATGTAAATAAATGGAAATTAAAGGACAAGACAGTATCTCTTCTCATGTATATGATGTAGATTCTGAAAAGGTATAAGAAAATAGTATGAACAATTATAAATGTAATAATTACAGTGAACAAATTGATTATTTCAATGTCTCCTGAGATTATAACTTGACATCCTGGGCTATCAATATGCAATCATTCCTAAATCATACCCTAATTTCTGCCATATTCCGAGATTCTATTTCTGAGACACTTTCAATGATGTTTACAATTTGGGTATTGGAATCAGAGCCAGAAGTGGTGTTTTGATCATAGCTGATTAGAGTATTATGATTTATTTTAAACAGAATGTGTTTTTTTTAAGGATGATAAGACCTCAGGGTCCTTTCTAAACTCTGTAATTATAATTTGCATAAATGCATCTCTATCAGAGTTACTAATCATCTAACTTCAGTAGTGTCGAGCTAACTGCCACAGTACTTAGAGATAAAACATGCTACATAAATGTGCTATGAGCTGTAGGATTACCCTATAAAAGAGAAAAATATTAGTAAATATGAGAAACTCGGTAACTGGAGATTTAGGGATAAACATAGAAAACCCCATGTGTTTTAATTTGTAGAAGAATTAAAACAACTTATCTTTGTGGTTGTTCTCAAATCTAAGTAGAAACAAAATCATTATAGACAAAAATTAAAATAAATTTGTGTATAACCTATCTTTAAAGAAAATGGTACCCATAAGTAGAAATATATTTTAAGAATTCAAAATTCACTTAAATTATATTGGAGGAGATACCTGAAGCAGCTCTCCCAATCTTAAGATACTAGGGGATGAAAACAGGAATTAAATTGTGTTATGTACCTGCACCAACGTCCCACAAGGAATGCAAATCTCATGTACTAGACACATGTACTAATAAAATTAAAGATATTAGTAAAGTACATAAGGTTAAATAATACCTTGAAAGTCTTTTTTTAACCATTTGGCAGTGTTCTAGCACCAAGTGTTCCTGAAAATGTCCCAATAAGATCTGATTCTGATAAATGAAAAGTGTATTCTGTGTTGATGCCAAAGGTTTTAGTATATCCTCCAGTTAAATAATTCTTAAATGCCAGAATTTGTACAATAGCCACAAACAAAGGGAGGTCATATTGTGAAACAAATTAGAAAGATAGATTTATAAAGGAAAGAAACAATATAGAATATTTCCTCAAGCAAGTTTAATATGTTAGATGTAGTCAGTTTTAGAATCCATGAAATATGTTTAGTAAAATGATACTTAAAGCCCTTGCTTTTTAGATAAGAGTGATCAGTTAAATCATTTATATTCTTTTAATACTTTATTTTTTTCAACTTCTTTGCTACCCCTCCCCTCTCAAAAATAAATAAGTAAAAGGAAGGTTAAAAGCACCAACCAGCTCAGTAAAGTTCTTTCATTTGGTTTGTTAAATGTCTTTAAATGAAAGAAAAAGACATAAACCTACCACTACCAAAGACTGTTAGCCTTGTAAAATAAACAAGATCAAAGAAATAACATTATGAAATGTGTTAATTCCTCTCAGCATATTATCATGTGGAGTAGATCATCACTGAGTCCCAACATGATCATAGGAACTTGAAATTAATGTCTGAGCATCTGCTTAGTTCTTACAGCTCACCTCAGCTGTTTTCCACTTACAACATGGTATTTTTCTGGGCCTCTGTTCTGGGAACTTCAGAGTCTGTCGCTAGATGTCAGTCAGGATCAGACCATGCAGGCTTACTGTTCCTCCAGCTTGTCTTCATGAAGCATTTTAACAGATGTCTCTTGTAGAGTCCTATAACCCAATTCTCAAATGAAGCATGTCAAGCTTTTTTCCATCTCATGATCTTTGCATGTGCTGTTTCCTCTACTGGGAACAATCTTTCCCTCTTTTATCCATGATGACACTCACTAATTCTGTGACCTCTACTGCACTATTACCTCCTGCAGAGGCCAAAAGTGACCACTTTGGCTAACTCACATCCAGTGTTCTCTCCCCAAATACATGGGTGTATATTGTCGTATCCTTTAGTGTAATTTTAAATGTACATGGGTTACAATACTATAACATCCATCTGCATCATCATGAATCCAGCTGGAATTAGGATCCAACTCAGATGGATCAAAGGAGTTTAGTAAATGGTCAAGTTATAGACCGATGAACAGGATTAAGAAGAGGATCAAGAAGAGAATCTGAGGTATTTGTAGACTAAAGGCAGAGCTCATCAACACTGTTAACCTGAACGGCCGAGAGAGAGGAAAAGTAATCATGCCAGAATAGGAAACCTGGAGATACAGACAAGGCCAGAGGCCCCTCAGCAGGAGGAAAGGATCAGGAAATTCAAATCCTGACTTCTTCCATTTTTATACTTTCTGTTCTTCTCTGGTGGCTCTCATGAAACCAAACAAAAATAAACCAGGAGTCAGTTTGTAACCCACTGGTTATAGGCATAGGCAACAGAAAGTGTACGGGAAAGAAGACAGTGACCAGCGGAGAAAGCAAAGAGAATAACCAGCCCTGTGTGGCAATTTTAAGTGTCCTGAAAGAGGAATTTTATGACTGTATCCCTCATTTGTATTTTGTAGATTTCATAGTACCTGACTTATAAATAGTGCTCAGGAATATTTGTTGCAGACGTTAGTTAACTCAGAAAAAATATTTTTACTTAATCCAGTCAACTCCTTATTGTTAACCGATAATAAAAAACCTTCTATACTTCTTCCTGTCTTCCCTTGAAAAATCCATTTACATATACTCCACACTTCTATCTCTTGCCTTCCTCTAATCTCCATGTATTCTAAATTTACATGCATACTGTTGTCCATAATTTCCCTGTCTATTCTTGTCACACTTCACTAAATATTTCTTTCCATTATAACTACTGTTTCTCTCTCTTTCCTATAATCATGTCTTAATAAACTGTTAAGTATACTACTTAATAAAGTTAATTTAAGTCACAATATTGCACAGCAGATCTCTAGAACTTGCATTGTATATCTGAAACGCTCCTTGTACTTTTACAGCTTATTATCATGTCTGTCATACTTAGTATTTAACACACACCTACAAAAATCTCCCTCAGTCATTTAACCTATGAGAAGAGATTGATTATGAAAATTATATTTATCTTTCTTTTTTTTTTTTTTTTTTTTTTTGGAAAAAAAAATTTTTTTTTTTTTTTTTTTTTTTTTTTTTTGTACTGGGGATCGAACTCAGGACCTTGCTTTTGCAAGGCAGGTGCCAGAACCACTGAACTAAATCCCCAGCACCAAAATTAGATTTATATTCAAAGGCTGGAGTGAAGGACAGAGTGTAAAGTATATGCCACAGAGAGTAATATTTGATGTAATAATGGCTGCAGGGACAAACAAGGATGAAATCATAAATACAAAATCTTATTGTTTCCAACTTAGTGTTCTTCAAGCCTTAAGGGGGCACTCCAGATTTTCTGTCCGAAATTGTCATTCACCATGTTATATGTATCATGTTTTAGATATACGTCCCCTCTCAGGGAAAAATGATTTGTTCATTAATTCATTGCAGCCCAAATCCAAGAGATGGGCTTTGTATAGTTCATCTTGTGAATGTAAACAGACTGGAGTCTTTTGAAAAAACAGACCCTGAAAGAAGTCAGAAGGTTATGAGAGCCAACTTTATGCCAGACCCTGTCCTTGCTTCCAGAGTTTTCAGTTTATATTCTCAAACTGATACTACTCTGTCTGCCTACATTTAGATGGATCAAACATCACATTTTCTTGGGTCCAGTCTGTCATTATACAAAAACAGCTATACATTCTGACAAAGCTACTCTTTCATCATCAGCCTTTCTTGCTGGAGATGTTTATTACCCATCTTTTGTTTCAGCTTTTTAATGAAACTACGTAACAGCAGATTTTCCTTCTTTGAACTTTCTCTGACCCATTATTCTTAATAGGAAATTTCTTTGTTAAAGAATCATACTTTGAAAACATGTAGAATCATGCCCCATTGCTCACAAATAACAATTATTGCTGTCAAAAATAAATTTACTTCCCTTGCTTTATCACTGAACATGTTAAATTCTTATAAAGTAGAACAGTGCATAGATAGAATTAGTGCAGGTACAGTACATAGAAAACTTAAAAATATGTAAGTTGTATTTTTCTGTATTCTTAAATAAAAGAAATATTTTGGGGGTATCAAATTTAACCATCTGTTTTTATCATCTGTTGATCACACCAAATTTTACCAATCTAATCTTCTAAGGAAATCTTCCAACTGAATTTATTAGATGGTCCCTCTTAGGCTGTAGGTACAAAACAAAACAAGAGTGCACAAACTCACTCCTCGAAACGCTCTTAACGTAGAATTACACAGTACTGAGCACAGAGCTTTTAAAGTGACGATGACATGCAATATCCAGTATTGATCAATTCTGCAAAAGTATTTTTCAGAAAAATGGCAAATGTTTAAATATGATCCATGGGGAAACAGAAGTATAGAAAGGCTTGGAAAATATAGCAATGTATAAAAGAAAAACGGAGTAGAAATTACTTACTTTGGAAAGAAAAGGCTGTTTTAAACATATGGAGGGTTATTATCAAGAGATTGCTCACAAGCTGTTCTCTAGTTTCAACAAGGTGGGAAGAGATGAAATTTCAACACTGTAGTATTAAAGTAGAAG